CTATAGCTTGTAAGTTAAATTTCATTTTACGATACAATAGAGACAACTGATTCGGTGCAGTTTTCAGCACTGCAATAACTCGCAGCACTACAGGACTTAACAACTACCGTTTGTAATAAATCAAGAGGTCACTCTTTGCAGAAATTATAAGTTAGTTTAGGTGTTTCCAAATGCTTTCTCTCAGAACACTTTCAAAGTAGTAAGTAAACAGAAAAAAATATTACTTTATCTTTCAATTAATAATAAGCTGTCGGTCTGTTTTAAAACTAAAAATCCAGTGTTCATTGTCTATACAGAGTTTCGATGGAATAAGGCGACAGCCACAGGCAATATAAAAACCAGTGTGAGCCCGGGAGACGAATGAGGCAGTTTTTTTTTTCTTTGCAGATGGCAAGATGCATCTTTTCATTCCTGCTCCGACAGGAAAAGCAGCCGAGGGACCGGGCCCTGTCTGTAGAATGTGCCGGAGAACAGTAGGTACTTGGCACAAGTAGCAGAAACAATTAGTGTCACATAAAGGAGTCCGTGAATGCGGGGAGAGGGAGGATGCGGGAAGGTGGCTTGGCGCCTTCACAGACAAGACCCCCAAACCGCAAACTTACTTCGAGGTATTATTTCTCATCATTACGCATAATATAAATGAGTTTTTGCAAAGACACTTTGAGTCATGACTCATTTAATTGATGTGTACTTCTGTGCAAAGGGTTTATTTGCATCTGCGCATACTTAATTACAGATCAACAGAGGGCGTATATCCTCCGCAGAGATCCCCCTAACAACGTTCTATTTATACCCACCTAATTTTATTACGACGGATGTGGGAAAGAAGAGATCAATTGAGAAACAAACTCGTTTGCACGCTGCCAGGGCTTTTGTTCTGTGTTGCCATGTAATTAATGAGGTGTTTACCTTATCTAATCCCCCCCAAAATAACATTAATCTCATTTAAATTTAATTCCCAAATAAGTTAAATTGCGAAGTTACTTTTGCATAATGTAACAAAAGCATAGACTACATAATCTTTAACAAGTTTAAATCCCAACTACCAGCTTCAGATTTCATCTCCACTGATTATCACAGAATTGAGGGATTTCAATTTAGTGATGTATTTATATAAGGACTAACTACAGTCCCAAATGGCAAAAACTGAAAGACCCAATACCCATATGCACAGACTATTTTCCCAAGCAATAATCAAACTTGCCCTATGAGTGAGATGTGAATTTAAGAATGAGACAACAAGGCTGACTGTACACACTTTACTTGAAACTAATGATACTTTTCAAAACAACTAAAGTAGCCCATTGTGTTCAAATTGTTGAACTGCTGTTGGGCAATTTAAAAAGTAACATTTAAAAATAAACAGTGTGAACGTGGATAAACAGTTGTGGGAAAAAAAACATGTTACTTTCATATTATATATACAGCCAGTACCATACAATGCTTCAAATTTCAAACAGGTGACTGTGGACAAGGTAAAGCATACAGTGTGGCATTACAGACACTAGAGGGTGCTGTTTCATAAACATGTCATCATCTTCCATCTTGACCACATTTAATCTCCTAGTATTAAAAACACAAACCCCTATTTTGTGAATGACTGACATTGGTATTGTCTGTTATAATTGAAAATACTGCAACACAGGCATAGCTATGAAAATTCAAATAGGCTATGAAAGCATTATAAAGCTCATTTTGCAAAATATGAAATTCTCAAAGATCAGAGAGAAGAACTTCAAGCAAAGATTATTCCTACTAGGATACTACCTAGGCTGAATGTATCAAAGAGGACCTTCAAAGAGTGTTTTTTTGGGAGTTCATGGTTACATTATGGACAGCACATTATGTGTGTTTAAAATTTAAAAATTTAATCCAATTGTATAGCGAGACTACAAATCCAACCTTATTTACAACCTTATTTACGTTTTTGCATTTCAGCTGAGAAAATTAGAACAGCCTTACACTATTATTCACCTTTAAAAAAACGATTTTTGTAATTTAATTGCTCATATGGTATGCTGATTTTGGGTTCCAAAACTGAATTAACAAAAGTGAATAGCTAACAATAAAGAAAATTAAAGAAAATAGGATGCAGCTCTACTGCCCATGTCAGGTCAGGTCAGGTGCAGAGCATGCGCTGATGCAGCGCGTTGCCACACCCACCACAGCAAAACTCCTCTGGATCCTGGCCGGCGACCCCCCAAGCAGATACACGGTCCAGTCCCACCCTCCAGAAATGGCCATCCATCTGCTGCAGCCAGGTGTTACGTGGGAATCCCTTTGGCCTGATCCAGCCACTCGGGTCCTCGGCAATGAGGATCCTGTGAGCCGGATCACACTCAGGGAAACGCGCCACATGGCCATAGTGCCGTAATGTGCCTCATTCAGGATACAATGCAGGTAATGTGCCTCATTCGGGATACAATGCAGGTAATGTGCCTCATTCGGGACTCCTCTAGCAACCGCTCATTTGACACAAAGTCGAACCAGTGGTACCCAAGGATTCTCCAAAGAGACACAGTACCAAAGGAGTCCAGTCTTTGTCTCAGCTCACTGGACAGCGTCCATGTCTCACAGCCACACAGCCACCAGGACTCTAAAGACTTGGAACTTCGTCCTCTTGCAAAGATATGGGGAATGCCACACACCCCTTTCCAGCAACCTCATGACCCCCCATGCTCTCCCATTCCATTTGCTGACTTCATAGGAAGAGTCACCAGAGACATGAATGTCACTGCCGAGGTAAATCTCTCAACAAGGTCAACATTCTCCCCGCAGACAGACACTACTGATGGCTGTGCCTGTGTCTTTATCCAGGACACCCACAATCCCAGACACTGCCCATGACAACCAGAAAATACATGTCCATGTAAATGAATGCATGCATTAACTCTACAATTTTAATAAGCCCTGTAGAATTTCCAAGTGATTCAAGCAAACTTTAGACTGTTTTCTTCAGATTATTTGGGTAACTCAGGCAGTGACACAAAGACGATTTGTTGTAAAGTCTGAATAAAACAGTTCATTATTATGTGTCAAGTTTGGATAAAATCCATCTTGATGACATTAAATCACAATTTCAGGGTTTGCTAGCAAGTGCCACTTAGGTAATAATATTATAATAAAGCTTTTGCATGCGTGATAAACACCCAGTAGTCTTGCACATTCAATGGTCACAGGGAAAAAAGCATGGTAGAAAAAATGGTGCTTGGTTAATCATATATGACTTTAATCTTTTTGGCATTGTGCTATGAGAATACCATACCACTCTCTCTCAAAAATGTGACAGGGACTTAACCCATCAGCCATTTCTCACACAAACATTTAAATTATTATTTATGATACATTCAGAAAGGTTCTATGGAGTTTCTTAGTCACTAAGTTGGTTAACGTCTTCTCTCTTTGGAAAATTTACTTAAACACTTCAGTGCCATGGAATTTGTGATAAGCCAGAAGGTGGGTGGAGTAAGGCATTAAAATGTAGAGTTCGTTGCAAAGTTCTCATCACGAAGCAGGATTTCGTGATTAGTTGGACAGCTTGTCAGATTTAAGGTAGCCCAGTTTAAATGGACTTTTCTTCTGTTCACTTACATTTAGCCCAGACTACCTTAAATCTAACAGGTTATCTGGCTAAGCAAGAAATCATGTTTAATGTGACCAACATCTTTTATTTTGCATGTTCTAAGACAGGGGTGGGCAATCTTATCCAAAAAGAGCCAGTGTGTATGCAGGTTTTTGGGATAACCTTTAGGTCAGGTATTCAAACCCAGATGTGAGGACTCTTCAGCCAATCAGTCCTCTAATTAGCTATCTATAATTAGGGAGTTGCAGCGAAAACCCGAATACACAGCGGCCCTTTCTGGATGAGATTGCGCACCCCTATTCTAAGAGAATATATAATGTTTTGAGTAGTTTAGGTACTAAGGCTGAGCGATTTGGGTATAATATCTAATCGTGATTTTTCTGACAGATATTGCGATATGATTTTTTTTCTTAAGTCAAGCTTCAGTTCAATATAGTGTGTAATAGATTTAAAACATATGACGCAGCATTACCATATGAGATACCATCAAAATGTGAACTGGTCTATATGCTAATATAAGGATGAAAAAATATGCAACTGTGCAAACTTATTGAATACCTCATCCCTGAACACTAAACAGAGTTTCTAAATTAATAACATTGTCATGTGATGATGGCCATGTGATTCGGTGTGGACACTTCCCAGATTACTCCACGTACTCTTTATCCACAACAATTTGCTATAAATTTAAGGCAAAACAGCTTAGATTTATTTACTTATGTATACTTGCATACCAGTTATGTGTATCATTCATTTATTCACATTCACTTATAGCTCTGCAGAGGAATCAATATTTTTTGGCACCGCGAAGGTAAAATGTTTCTTGGGTTTCATGTATTTGTTGTTTTGTGGACGTGTGGCCCACTTCTGTTTGCTGAGCATGACAGGCACGACAGGAGCATATAGCACTTCTCCTTGGTGAGAATGTGTCATACAAGGAGGACGGCATGAATTTGTAAAACTATTCTCACGAGTTTTAAACCCTGGGTTAGACCTGCTGAATAATGCATATCCTAAATCGCAGCCTTTGTAATCCCTATAAGGTACTGTACTTCGACCTAACTAATCGTCCACAAAATATTCTGCCTGACTTACACACGCAGTCCTAGCTTTAGAAAAGGCCAAAATGATAAATGAAAGGTTCTGAAGGTATTTCAGCTTTGAGAGTAACGGAATATTTGATAATAAATCTGAATAATACGGCTGTAGGCCTACTATGAACTTCGAGCTGAAGGTGCCTGGTGATTTTAATTTAAATACATGACTATTCATTAAGCAATTTCATTCAGTGAACAATCTAAAAATAACTATTAGTTACTACAGTACCAAGGCCGTGGCCATGTAGTCAACATTGGGGGACATGCCCCGCCCCATATATATTACAATTACGGATTACGGCCATGGTTACTATACTCACTTTGTAGCTGGTTTTCAGGGAAAACTGGATTTAAGGGTTAAGCAACTGTGGCTGTCACCTCCCATTTAGAAGCCATTTTAAACCAAGGAGGAACGGGGTTTGGATACAGTCCATATCCTTCCGTAGGACAGCACCTTGATCTGAGCCTGTAAGGTTAGCGTGTGAGTATGAAACTGCACTGTTTATCTTGGTAACTGTCCTTATAGTACAGTGGACAAAAGTCTGGAGGAAATATAGCGATATGGGGTTTAATTTGGTTGACAACAAAATTTAACATTTTGTCATTTGAATGTGCAGGGATTATCCCATATCCACTTTTAATAATATCGATGTATTAATATTAAACCTGGATATGGGATAATTTCTGCATATTCAAACGACAAACTGTTTAATTCAGTTTGTATATCAAGCAAAACTCGACTTACTACGCTTTTTAAATACTGTACAGCCGTATACGTTACATCGTTTCAGAGGTATTTGTCCACAGAAGTGCTAAGCGCAAAAAGCCTAGCAAATCGCTTCGCGGAATTACTTACTTTAAAACATAACAGACGTGTTTGACTCGGATTGTTCGCTAAATGACTTTCTGAATACATATTAGACTAGGAAGTAGGAACTCACGGATGTATTTACCCGGAACACACGAGAGGTCATGTGACAAAGACCGTATATCTCATAATATAGGTGCCATGGTATTATATTGTTCCTGTATAACATAGACGATCTTTTCCTGAAGACAAATATTCTAGCTTTTTCGGTAGTGTCCCATTGAAATGCCGAAGCCGCCGGAGACGATTTAATTTCAGATTACGGCGAACTACTAAGGGTCTTTTTCACAATGTCGTTTCACAATGTATCAAGAGAAGCTATGGCTGGTACTGCCATACTCGGTGTTGCTCTTGTGGCAGGTTACTACATGGGTAAGGGCGATCCGAGTTGATTTACTCTAAAATGCTGATAATTAAATTGGACTATGGTCAGACATGTGCATCTCATCCAATCAAAAACTTGATCCTTTTGGTTTAAAGTACATATTTCATTTAAAAGACAAGGTACTATAGAATTACACATCCTGACACATTACACTGTTATTTTTAAGATCACTTCAATTTTATGCTATTACATAATTCACATAATATTATAGCTTTATACGAGTATTTTCACCATAATATTACTTCATCAGTTTTGTAATATTGACTAAGTAATGACATGTGCATACTGTTAAGCGGGTGCAGTTTCTAACAATATGAATGGCTTTATAAACATCTATTTTTAAATAAACGCCTCAATATTACACGTGTTTAGTCAAATTATAAATTACTCCCCAACCTTTGTAATAATTATGACAAACAGCCATAAGATTAAAACCACCGACAGGTGAAGTGAATGACATTCATTATCTCGTTACAATGGTGCCTGCCAGACAGGCAAGTGAACAGTCTGTTCTTGAAGTTGGTGTGATGGAAGAGGGGAAAATGGTGCACCCCTTCATGGCAACGGTATTTGCCCAATGGCAATAGCCTCTTTCAGCAGGGTAATGCACCCTACTATACTGTAATAATTGTTTATAGAGTTCAAGGCATTGAGTTGGAGGCCCAACCTGGCAACCTACAGCAACTATCTTCTACGTAATTTTTGTGAGCAATCAGTAAGTCTAGATCAGGGTTCTTCAACTCTGGACCTCGATTCCTAATCCAGGCCGTGTTTTCAGTTCTCCCAGGTAGTTGTTTAATAATTACTGATTCTGATTGGTCAGAGGCTTCACACCTGATTGACAGGTAAAGGAAGGCTGGAAAACCAGCAGTGCCTGGACCTCGAGGACCGTGAGTTGAATAACCCTGGTCTAGATAAAATGACACTAGGGCAAAGTCCGAAACCCTCCCTAATACTGCCGTATATCTTTTGCTTTTGGCTTTGGTTGTATGACTTGTATCACACATTATATATGGAGAAAGCACATGGTAATATTATCCACTATCTTCTCTGTAGGGAAAACCAGAACTGTCTCTTCCAGAATGGACCTTTTTAAAAGCCACAGTGGAGCTAAAGACAACCCATTGATGTTGTACGTGTTGAATCATTCTTTGCGAGAACACCCAGCTTTGACAAAGCTCCGACTGGTAATAAATTACATTCTCAAATATTAGAAAATATAGTATAGGACACACGGTATATTAGATGGACGAATACATGACTGAATGAATGAAATGCCGGCTAGACTGATCCAATGAAAAAGCTTTTAAAAGTGGTTTTAAGAAATTTTATGAGTAAAGGAAAACGTACAGTTTAGCCACTAGATGGCAATATGTCAGCACTACACATAGCTTGGTATGGTCAGGATTAGAAGTGGATGGATGGATGGATGGATGGATGGATAAAAGGTTCTGCCAGATAATACATTTGTTTGGGTTTAATCGAATAGGTATTTAGTAATATAATTCTATGTTACTGTAGTTGAGTGGTGTAGTTCAACCGTTTTTTAAATTGTGTAAAATATCCAGTTTTAACTTTAGTTAAATGATGCATCTTTTTCCTACACTATGTAGAAGACACTTGAAGATCCCTATAACTATATGATGGTTGCATGTGAGCAGGCTCAGCTGATGGCCAACCTTGCAAAGCTGATCAAGGCCAAAAAAGCCATTGAGATAGGTATGTACAGAAAGTTCAGCTTATTTTATGGTTAAATAAACCCTGTCTAACAGAATCTGGGAAAACCACTCAGTCTTTTAATCACGAGCCAAACTTCTGTCTGTCATGCCAACAATATTAAACAGAACTAAATGGGTATGCTTACATTACTGGAGATCTCTATGTAGTCAGAAGAATCAAGTGCTACACAGTATACAGAGAGAATGGGATTCTAAATATGATTCGGCATATCAATGCATGCCATCAGCAACATAGTGCTGGCATTTATTAAACAAAAAACTGGAGCACCATGCCTGTGTCAATGAGATTTCTAACACCACCCCAACACCCTTCCACCCCCAGGTGTGTACACTGGATACAATGCACTTAGTCTGGCACTGGCTTTGCCCGAAGATGGCCGGGTTGTGGCATGTGATGTAGAGGAAAAGTATACTGACGTGGGCAAGCCCTTCTGGGAAGAGGTACAGTAAAATATACTTGCTTTGCAAGTTGCCTTTTCTGAAGTATCGCTGTGAAAGTTTAACAACCAGTCTCTAATGAAATGTATGTTCCGGCCAAAAACAGGATCAGTATAATGTGAAGTTTTATATTGGACATTCACAGCCAAAGTGCATTTCACTTTTCAGCTATTTTAACGGATTCCTGCGTGCGAGGCATTCTAACAACATTCTCTGAGCATTTCTCTTTTGCCACTGCTTTTTCTCCAGTAACAAATGCGCTGGTGTCATTTTCCCTTTATAAAGTGCTGAAAGGAGAATAAAAGTTGCCATCCAGGTAACAAAGTAAATTCTTGCATTATGCATGTTAACAGTGGTAAGCATCATGCTTCAGTTCATGCCCAGGATCCCTCATAGTCTAAGTGTTATTAAAAATTAACCAATCACCCTGCTAATAGTACTGTCTTCACTGACAATTATTTTGCAACTTAGAAGAAAACCCCCATGCAACACACAATATTAAAATTAACAATGTATTCTTGCTTTCTCTATTCAATTTATAAAAGAGTAATGTATTTAATGTAGACTGTAAAATCCTGTGCAAGTAAATGTATTCTGTAAAACCAGTAAACTCCATTTAGAAATGCATTATGGAAAAGCTGCAAGATAGTCTATCCCAGTTCTCCACATGTCACATTGAGTGTGTATTGTATGAACAGCACTGGACAGCCTGCACAAGCACACCAGTCAACTTTTAAATACCAGGAGTGATTTGTGCAACTGATACAGTCGACTTTTTTATCTATAGACATGTTAGCATAGCCACTGAAATGGCTCATCTAAACTAGTGATGATTAGCAGTACAACATATATCTACAACAGACCTGATGTACTCTTAAAAGAGGCTGAATTACCAAAAGTCCAAGGAGTACCACAAAGATGTACAAGACTTAGTCAGTCATTAAAAAAATATATAAAAACATTCAGGTCATTGAAAGTAACTGAAGGTGTAACACCCAACCTTTTCACATGAGGTTCCTTCTCAGTTCTAAAAAATTATAGGCAGCCTCATTACTTAGTTTGAACTGAAGGCAGGGGTGGGGAACCTGTTCCATGGAGGGCCGGTGTGGGTGTGGGTTTTTGGGATGGCCTCTCAATAACAGTGACTCCCCTGGACTGGAGTTGAGAACCACTGTTTTGTTACTGGCAGACTGAGATGTCATCCCAAAAACCCGCACCCACACCGGCCCTCCATGGAACAAGTTCCCCACCCCTGACTAACAGGTAAAATGACCACAGCCCCCCTGCACCATGAATATACAGAAAAGGTTAGATATACACTAGCTGGGAATCATCTGGATATTTCTAAAACACCCTGCACATTTGGCTGACATTCTCCACCAGAAACTTATCAGTTCCCCCACATTAAATCTCAGTAGTTCTCAAGGTGCATTCTGGGTGCACAGAACACCCAAAAGCATGACATTAGGCAATTGTCGCCAAATCTCCAGAACATCTTAAGTACCCATCTTTCTCTTTTTTTGTAGGCTGGAGTTCAGCACAAAATCGATCTCCGCATACAGCCAGCCCTGAAAACACTCGGTAATTTGTGTACTAATCAAACTATTCCACATAAATTCCTGCATGATATACCACCAAAACCTCATGCTCTGTCTATCTACTGTCAGATGATCTCCTAGCGGCTGGCGAAGCTGAAACCTTTGACTTTGCCTTTATCGATGCTGACAAAATAAATTATGACAACTATTACGAAAGATCCCTTCAACTTGTGCGGAAAGGAGGGATTATAGCAATTGATAATGTGAGTATACCGCCAGCACCATCATGAGCGCACTCACTAAAGGTGTTTCATGAAATGCTACTTTAAATCGTTTTGTGGCTCTCTTTTCCATGGCAATAAAATACTGCTCTAGTTTTCAAACAAATGATCATTTTGCTTGTACTAGTAAATCTACAGATTGATTACACTGCCTTTGCAATTTCTTTTAACTGATGTTAATGCTCAGCTTTATCATTTGCACACAATACTTGCGCTGCTACAATTATAAATCATTTTTCCTCGACCCCATCTTTCAGGTTCTGTGGAGTGGGAAGGTTATCAACCCAGCTCAGGATGACATGAACACACAAGCGATTGACAAGCTTAATAAGAAGATATACAGAGATACCCGAGTGAATTTGAGCATGCTGACTATAGGAGATGGAGTGACGCTGGCTTTTAAAATATAACCAGCAGAGTAAACACTCAAGACTATAGCGATCAGACTGCACAAAATTTACCTTTAACATCCTATTGGGCCGAAACTATAAATTAAGTTTTTAACTTTATGTCTAAGGAATCAAGGAATGTGTGTGTGTTTTTATCTTCACATATTTCTCCCATTACTAATTATTCTCAGGCATTGTTGCAGCACTATGTAATGCATACCTCGGACTCGGATAATAATTCACCAGTCAACACCAAATTAAATGTTATAAGTCATATGATGGCCTGCTACTCTGCTCTAAATCAGTTTAACCTTAGCAAAGACAAGGAAAATAACCACTCCACTAAAACATCGGAGACACCACCCATCAAAGCAGAATCAAAACAACGAAGACTGAGCTGATGAAAAGGATAAACAGGAGACACAACAGCATATTATACTTAAAAATGTATGATTCATTGTGCTGAGATGTATTGTAGAAGTGAATTAGGTTTTGAGGCCAGTGTAGGTACTTTTGTAACCACTACCTAGTTTACAAAGCAACAAAACACAAGATCTGCACAAGGTTTTCAGGTGTAACGTAATGCTTATTTTTAGTCACTTTATAGACAGAAGGTTTATTAATTAATGTGCATTTTCACATGTATTTTTAAAAAGAAAATATGGCAGCATCCAGGTTTGTTACTACAATTTTCCCCATTCCCTCAAATAGAAAATTATAATTTATATAACATTTAAATTGATAACATTTACCCCCACAGTAAGCTGTCTATCAGAGTAACAAACACAAACATGTTTCTTTTTTCCTAGTCTCCCATCCCTACACTGGAGCGTCCACACGCACCTTATACCATGAAATCTTTGAACGATGGCACCTGTAGCTTTCATAGTATATGATTTTCCCGCTAAATGCCTCCAGGGGGATCACAATCATCAGCCTCCTTGGGAAGGTCTATGCCGGGGTACTGGGGAGGAGGGTCCACCTCTTGGTCAAAACTCAGATCCAAGTGGAATAATGCAGATTCTGTCCTAGTCGCAGAATGCTGGACCAGCTCTTCACCCTCACAAGGATACTGGAGGGGTCATGGGAACCAGTCTACATGTGTTTTGTGAACTTGGAAAAAGCATTCGACCATGTCCTTCCGGGGCTGCTTCAGGTTTTGGGGTACGAGGTCCACTGATGTGGGCCATCAGATCCCTGTATTAAGAGATTGAGAGTTTGGGTCACATCGCCAGTAGTAAGTCAGACTCGTTCCCAGTGGCTGTTGGACTCTGTCAGGACTGTTCTTTGTTACTGATTCTGTTCAAAAAAAATTCTAGAATAGTCATGTGGCAGAGCGGGTGTGGTTCAGTGACCTCAGGACCACATCATTGCTTTTTGCAGATCACGTGGTCCTGTTAGCATCACTGGACTGTGAGCTGCAATATGCAGTGCAGCAGAATGAGGATCAGCACCTCTGAATCTAAGGCCATGGTTCTTGACTGGAAAAGGATGGATTGCCTTCTCCTGGGGGAGGATGAGGTACTGTCTGAAGGAGTTTAAGTATCTTGGGGTCTTGCTCACGAGTAAGGAAAGAAGGAAGCAGGAGATTGACAGACAGATCAGTGCCCCGTCAGCAGTAATGTGGATGCTCTACCGTTCTGTCATGGTAAAGAGAGTGCTGAGTTGGAAGACAAAGCTTTCAATTTACCAGTCGATCGATATTCCTACCCTCACCAATGGTCACAAGCTTTGGATAGTGACCAAAAGAATGGTGTCTGGTCTCAGCCGTAGAGATAGGGTGTGGAGCTCAGACATTTAGGAGGAATTCAAAGTTGAGCTGCTGCTTCTCCTGCCCATTGAAAGAAGCCAGTTGAGATGCCTGAACCACCTATCTAAGATGCCTCCTGGACGCCTCTTTGGTGAGGTGCTTGCAGACCTGGGACATGCTGGAGATAATATCTCTCAGCTGGCCTGGAAATGCCCCCAGTGGAGCTGAAGGAAGTGGCTGGTGAGAGGGAGGTCTGAATACAGACTTGTTGTTCTTACTCTGAAGATCCAGCTTAAGTCCAGTAGGCTACCACCTACTATGAGAATAAGGCTGGATCTGGCCAGACTGGAAGATTGGGCTGTTTCTAATAAATTTGCATATAGATTGTGTGAGGAACTTGTAGACTTGGGTGTGATTGCTGATCTTTATGTGATGTGGGAGAACTTCCATGATAAGACCCTGAAGATTGTTGAGGTTTGTGTTATGTTACCGGTGCTTCATCTCGCAGGGCACCCTGAATATTATCCAAAAAAATCACAGCGTACTGCTTGATGGCAACATTATTGGTTTATCCCAAGAACTGAGAAAGACAACTGCAACATCACTGGGTCCATGGTTCTTCAGGCTAATCCTCCAATTAGCTGTGAACCACCCAATCTCACTGAGACTGCACACACAGTGAACCAGCTGAGGGTAGGGATCTGAGGTATCTGGGGTGAACTTCTCTAGGCTGGTGATAAGGCTGTCCGCCTGGCATTGCAAGCAATCTTTGCTTCCATTTGGGAGACAGGCATCATCCCAAATGACTGGAAAACGGGGCATGATATTCCTATCTGGAAATGGAAAGGGGTAATCGCCTGGATTGCGGCAACTACAGGGGGATAACACTGCTCTCAGTGCCGTATAAGGTTCTTGCTAGGCTCATCCTCAACAGGATCCGTAATCACTTGCTCACCTATCAGTGACTGGAGCAGTCTAGATTTACGCCTAAAAAGTCTACCATCATTGGCATCCTGTCACTGAAGAGTCTCATCAAGCACAAACGCCAATACTGGCAGGGTTTCTTTGCAGCCTTTGACGATTTTCACAAATCATTCAACCCAATCAACCAAGCTGTTTTGTGGGACATCCTAAGGCTTCAGGGGGATCCAGCAAAGTTGCGGAACATCATGGCAGACCTGTACACAGGTACTGTGAGTGCTGTGCAGAGTGGAAGCAGAACCTCTGCATTCCTCCCAGTGGATTCTAGGGTTCGTCAGGAGTGTGTTCCTGCTCCTACTTTGTTCAATGCTTACATGGACTGGGTGTTAAAGTTGGGGGGTCCAGTGACTGTGGGGTATCTGTTTGTGAGTAAAGATGTTGGCTTTGCCAACAATACTGTGATCTTTACAGAATCAATGGAGGCTCTGATGGGGGCTCTCAAGAGATTGAATGAGAATACTGAGTGTTTGGGCTTGCGAGCGTCCTGGATTATAACTAAGATCCAGTCCTTTAATGATCTCTTGGACACAGCAGTCAGCAGTGTATCTGTCTGCAAAGAGAATGTCAACCTTGTCGAGAGGTTCACTTCCCTTGACAGTGACATTCATAAGAAGAAAGAACATAAGAAATTTACAAACGAGAGGAGGCCATTCGGCCCATTAAGCTTGTTTGGGAAGAACTTAACTAATAGCTCAGAGTTGTTAAAATCTTATCTAGCTCTGATTTAAAGGAACCTAAGGTCTTAGCTTGCACTACACTAACATGAAGACTATTCCATACTCTTATTACATGCCTTGTAAAAAAGTGCTTTCTCAAATCCAGCTTAAACTGTTCTCCTGCTAATTTCCACCTATGGCCACGAGTTCTAGTATTTAAACTTGTGTTAAAGTAGCCATTTGGCTGAACAGCATCAAGACCTGTTAGAATCTTATATACCTGGATCATGTCCCCCCTTAGTCTCCTTTGCTCAAGGCTGAACAGATTCAGCTCAGCTAACCTCTCCTCATAAGACATTCCTCTAAGACCAGGAATCATTCTCGTAGCCCTACATTGAACCTTTTCCAAGGCAGCAATGTCCTTTTTAAGGTATGATGACCAAACCTGCACACAATATTCTAGGTGGGGTCTTACCAAGAAATTGTATAATCGTAGCATCATGACTCTGGTGACTCTTCCTATGAAGTAAGTGGATGGATTGGGAGCAGTGGCAGAACAACTGCACACAAGGCCTCTGGGCAAAACACCGATCGGGGCACGCACACACACATACACGTATATGTGCAGCGCTGAAATGAAAGTGTAAGGGCAGGATCACAAGAAAAACTTAATGAGAGAATTCGACTGACCCTCACAAAAACTGTAAAGTTTTAGTGGCTAAATTGCATTTTCTACGCCTTTTCAGACAGGAGATTTGTTTGGCTATGCCTAGAAAGCAACGTTGTTACCAGTGTGGAGACCAACAGAGTTTTACCAAGGACAAAAATTCCACCTCCAGCTGCCTGCCCATCTCATCCATTTCTGTTGCAAAAATTACAGTGTATTGTCTAAGTGAATAGGTTATAGGTTAATTCAGTGTTTCTTAAAGTGTGGGGCGCGCCCCTCTGGTGGGGAACAGAGACGTGACAAGTGGGGCGCGAAATACAGGGGGACTTTTTTGTTTATTCATTTATTTTTTTCATTTGTGTTATTAAATCTATGAATTCATTTATTTAATTACCATACACCCAAAACAAAACAAAGACACATTTAAACGTAATCCTAAATTAAAACAACATCAGCGAGCGAATGGCATTGAAAATGTCATGTGGAACCACAGTACTTTTGAGAGTGGCAGTATCAAGCCTTCAACCTCGTTTTGAAAACATGTGTGCTACAAAACAGGCTCATTGCAGCCACTAAAATAGTAAAAAAAAAATATAAAGTAATATAATACACTCACCTAAAGGATTATTAGGAACACCTGTTCAATTTCTCATTAATGCAATTATCT